AACTTCGATCCCTGTTACCCCCCCCCAAAAAAAATTTCCCAAAATATAACTTTGCTCATGGTGCCACCAACACTTCAACAGGTCCTCACTGTCTACCACAGCATTGCAAACTACTCAGCAGGTATCCCAACAACTCTATACCTACCCAACCTCCAATCCATCCTCCTGGACATAACATCTCTTTCACCTTCCTCACTCTGGAATGGCCTGCCTAAGAGTCTCCTCAGTCATCACCACCACCCCCCTTTTTGGGGGATGGGGTTTTGCTATGTAGCTCAGGCTGGCCTTGAACCCGCTGCAATTTTCCTGCCTCAGCCTCCCAAGTGCTGGTATCAGAGGATGCACCCCCACTCCCAGAGACCTTTAGTATTTCTAAAAACCACTGTGGTAGTAATGGGAACATATAGTCTTATCCTCCTTATAAAACAGTGTCTTCTTAACAGCATCAAACTATACCTTGTGCTATATATTACGAGTATGTCATCTTTGGACAATATCAAGGAAATCAATTTGAAAAGGAAAATCTTGGTAAACATGAAACTACCAATGATTCTCAAATATTTATCCCAGACTAGATCTCCAATTACTCCAAGTTGAATGACTCAAGACCCAGTAACTACAAAATAGAACTCAAAATCTCAAGGCCACATCTGTTCCTCATCTAAATGGGCTCTAACTCAGTGAATGGCACTACCATCCAAGCAGCTCAGGCCAGAGCCATAGGTGTGCTTTTCAACTTTCCCAAGCCTGCCTCTAATGCTCTGTAATCAGGTCCTATGAAGTCTTCCTAAGTGTTCCTAGAAATTACCCATTTCTTCTCAGCTCTGCTGTCAGTTCAGGCCACGATTACCTAAGGGTATTGGAATATCATCTGGTTGTACAGTCAACTCCACAACCATTCTCAAAAATCCAATCTCAACAAGTGATGTTCTTTCTTAAAACTTTCCCATTGCTCTCAAGATAAAGACTTCCAACATGGCTTTCAGACTCTTCTGCATCTGGCCAAGGTTTAGCTTTGTAGGTCCATCTAATTTCCCAGATGATTTCTTCTCTTAAGCATATTATAATCCAGCAATGTCCATGGTATGCTATACAGTCTCCCAAATATACCAGTGTCTACTTCTGCCACAGGGCCTTTGCACAAGCTGTTACTATTTAGCTGAGTGTACTTCCTTTATAATCATTCAACACCTGGAGGACTGACCAACCTCATATTTATAGTCTACTTCAGCACCTGGCATGTAATAGGTGCTCAATAATTATTTGCTGAATGAATGAGTAAGCAGATCATAATTTTCTAGGCTTAAAAAAAAACCAAGATCAGTGAATAAAAGCCATTTCTGTACCATTTATATTACTTCAGCAGTATTGTATAAAGTGAGGGAATTGACCTCTATTTTTATTTTATCTATCTTTTGAGTCAAAACTAGTAATAATTTGGCTAAATAAACAGAATTTACATGTGTGGGCTTAGAATAATCAAAATGAAGGGGACACTATTCCATGTTCTCCTTTGCCTTGTAAACTCTAAGACCAAGACCAACTCATGTGAAATTGCTGAGAACCTTTAGATGCAAAGCACAGAATTATGAAAAGCACCCAAGCAAATGTGGACACAGCACAGAAAGAGCCTGAAGGAAACTGGAGAGTATGAGAGACATCACACTACAGGAATGCAGGGACTTTTAATAAAAAGAAAAGGCTTGGCACTGCTCCTGTTGTTGTCCACACTACAGTTCTGTGCACTCCCTTGCATACACTTTCGGATCCTGGTAGCCACGAGAAAGAATGGGGGCATTCTCCAGGGCCATAAAAGCCTTTCTGATTTATCAACAAAGGCTGATACTGCAAAGGGGAAGGAAACACTAAGCCACAAGATGAAATGCCTGGCCCTCACAGCATTTCCTTTATGCTTTACAATGTATCATCCCCATTTTACAGATGCAAAAATAGGGACCTATGGTCACACAGCTAGTCTTAGTGACCACATAGTAAGGTCTAATGCAAATGCATTTTTATTGAGCACCCACTCCTGCCAAGCCCTGGTCTAGAGAACTATGAGCGAAAGAGGAAAGGTCTCTCAGGATAGCTTACAGTTTCATGGAGAGAATGCACCACACACAGTGTAATTTCGGATGGTGATACAATTTAGACATACTAAAAAAGGAAAACTAAAGGCTGTGACAGAATAACCAGGAAAGCAACTTTAGGTCACAAAGTTTTCAGAGATAACCTAAAGACAGTTTTGAAGAGAGAACTTGCAGAGCGCCTATCAACCCAAACCTTCACTGAAAGTCTCCAGAACTACCAGGAGCAAAAATTACCATTCACTATCAGTAAAGAGAACTATACAGTTATCCTAGTCACAACCTAAGCAGTAAGTTACACAGTCACCAGACAGCAAATATCTTCACATGCACCTAGTAGCTGGCGATGAGCTGACCAAATTCGTTCTTAGATCTCCCAGCACCTACATCTGGGTACAATAAATGATTCCTGAATTAATATGACAAAAGGAAGAAAGAACATGTTAAGAGGTTACCCTCATGGGTTAAATCCCTTTTCTAGCCAAGTGGCTTTAATTCACCCCAACCCACTCTGAAGCCAGTCTTAATCACAAGAATCAGGTGAGGGAAGTGGGATTAGTGTAAATCCACCAACAATACTGTACTAGGAAGAATTAGCATATGCTGACCCCTCTCCAGCCAATGGTCAGAAATCTCATCTTGAAATCGCAAGTTCCACTTAAAGAAAATCTAGTACCTGAATGATGACTAAAAATTAAGAATGGGGTAATTATTTGGTTTCTTTGAATAAGAGGTCTACCAATGAAGAAACTCAGGATATTGTTACCAGGTACCTGTTCTAAATACTGCAGGCATACTACCAAGTTGAGATGACCTGTTTACCAATCTTGCTGGATTGGTACTCCTCGAGTGGGAGGAAAGGGGCAAAGTACATTCATCTGTGTCACCTTAGGGCTGTATCCAGTGTAAATTGCAGATGGTCAATGATTGTATGATCTGAATTACAGAAGTTAAATTCCTCCCTCAAGTTTTTGGTCCTGGAGCAGCTGAGTAGGGTATGGCCCTGTATCACTGTTCTCCGCTCAGGATGCTCCGAAGGTCTCACCAATTACATACCACTCTTTCAATGTCTCTGGTATAGTTGAAGAGCCAGGAAAGCCTCAGAAGCCTTTTCTTCAATTTTCAACTTTATGTCTAAAGTACTATCCAGGTGGCCACAGCAAATAACAAGTGGCCATTTGCTGAACAGCAGAGTTGCATCTGCGCCATTTATCAAAGATACCTATACTTTCCGGGAACCAGAGAATGACTGAAAAACACTAAACTTAAGATACCATTTCTGATAAATGATATCCATTTTTGTGATGTTGGGAGTGATGAGCCTGGGACATTTCTTTCTGAGATAAAGCAGTGCTGTACACAATGACTTATTACTATAGAATCACAAGTAGACCCAGCATAAGGAAATACAGGTGGAGGCAGATTTAGTAGGAATTTTATTTACTTTCTCCAGTAAGAAACTTCTTCTGGATAGGCCTCCTCATTTTTAAAAAGTAAAACCAAAACATGCAAATACTAATACCTGTGGGTTTTGCTCTTCCTAACATCAACCGCAGCTTTAAAGTTTTTAAAGCTTTGATTTACACTACCAACAGAAAATCTTCAACAAAAGGCACAAATTAAATACTACCTATCTGCACACTGGATGTATTACTCATTTTTGTTTGCTCTGAATTACCATTTTTTTGCTGAGCCATAAGGATTGGCTTTACAGAAACTTAGATCCAAAATGGCAGCTGCGCTTCTAAAACCCACCACAGCCATCCTGCTCACCGTAAGTAAGCGCAGGTCTTATTTATCTCACCTTTCAACTCTCTCCAGAAAAGTAGTTATAAAACACATGTCAATGAATCAGATGGCATTCCGTCAATGCTCTTAATATCATTCTCCTTTTTGCCCAGAGAGGAGGCACCCTGCTCTGGTTCCTCCGCTCTGCAAACTGAATTAACCTGCCATTCACATGTGTGCACAGTCCACAAAAACAAGCTAAGGGCAAAACACAGAAAGCCTCGGTTTTTCTCCATTCTTCAGTGAAACCAATTTAGGAAATGGGCATAAATGAAATCATCTAACAAGTAAAGCCCCAAATAATTGCTTTCGTTTTCAGAAAAAAAAAAAAATCAGAGCGCTAATTTTTTTTAGGCCCACCCCAATGTCATACTCCTGTATCACTAAGGTAATTTCTTTAAATTCAAACTGTAAAAATAGAGACCAGTCTGCCTCCCTCCTTGTTGTAATGTTTCCAATCCCTTTTACACAAAAGCTGATTTTATATCACCAGAAAATTTACATTGAATCTAAATGGTCACTTCTCCACTTATAACCATTACTAATATAACAACAACATTACTTTAATAAAATAAATAAAATATTTGCTTTTTAGAGACAGAAGACTTTAATTATCTTTATTCAAATGAAAGTCTTTTTGTTAAATTAGCGTGAAAGTCCCTTCATCTACACACAATTGGCCCAAAGAAACAGGCCATTTTCAGCACAAGAGGCCAATCCATTTTAACAGTGAATAAAGCTTTTGAAAGTACTACACACCCTCTTCCACACTGTCAAATTTTCAAAATGGTCCAGCATTTTTCCCATTTTTTTAACACTTTCAGACCCAGCAAGCATCTCATAATTAGATTAATTAAAAAGGAAACAACAAAAACCACTGCTCCCTTCTAATCAAAATTATTCCATTTATGCTTAATTAGCTTTAATCCAAGTCTACATATTTAATGATGGGGATATGACAATTCAACCCATTTGCATATTTTAAAAGCCTTTTCTAGACTATACTTTGTAACAGATTTAGAAGAACAGTCTCTTTCTCATGCCAATATGCCAGGCATAAATCAGGAGGTTACAAATTAGGGGAAAAAGAGAAAAGAAAACAAGGCTTCTCAGAGCCAGGGATGTGCCGGGGAGGGTGGGGTAATTTACCCAGGGGTGGGGGCAATTTACCCGCCACATCACAAACTACAGTCCTTTCAGCCCACCAGACCGAGAAGCATTACATCACACTCTCACAATGATAGGGGGAGGTGGCTCTGAGAAAGCAAGTTTTCGCCTTTCTTTCCTCCCTGCTCTCAGGCTTCTAGAATCCTGCATTGGGAGTAATGGAATTTAACTTCGAGCACTGCACAGTTTCGGGGGTTACTAACAATCACACAGCTACTTATTTATATGATCCGGCACGACCACTTCACAGAGAATACGCGGCAAAACAAGCAAACACACGCAAGACACCAAATTTGCGTTGAGGAGTCCAGATATTCATCTACATAAAATTAAACAAAAATTTTCTTTCGTGAGAAATGGAGGCCAATCTACAGAGAGAACTGATAAATAATTCCTAATCGGAGTGAACAGCTGTTTACATCTTTAAAATATCATGTTTACAAGACAGTCCTATCATTCGGTTGAAACCACGATCAAAATAAAAGCGCATCTGGCTGCACATTTGAGAACACACACAGAGACCCGGGCAAGCGAGCGCGCCCAGAAAGAAGAACGGTGAGCCACATACCCCAAACCTCCTGCTGTTTGCTAGCACCCAACCCAAGGTTTAAAATGTATCGGGTCCTACTTTGCGTTTTACATCTCTCGAGGATGGATGGCCTACTTTAAATTTTAAAAAAACCAAAACCTAAAAAAACCCCAAACGCTTTCCCATTCTAGGGCTCGTCCTCCCAGATCCTTTGTCGGCCTTAGCAGCCGAAAGAATGCAAACCCATTTATATTTATGCAAATTTTTGCAGCAGATTTAAGGGGGGAGGGGGAAGTCTGTGTTTTTTATAAACCTCTTTCTAAATATCACATTTCCAATTACTCGTAGCTTCATTTATTTGCAAGATAGAAACGAGGATGAAAATCTACATATAAACTAAAGGTGCAATTAAATCACTTAAAAAGTCAAATATTTCACCAAGTCTTTTCCATTTCTAAAATGCCGAACCAAAAGTACATCACGGGTCTGATTCACAGAGATCCGCGAAATGTCTGAAGCCAGTCTCCATGCTAGACAAATGCCGATTTGCAACAGCACTAGTGAAAACGGTTAGACAAGATCCATATAAATCAATTGGTTTTTAAAAATTGAAAATATTTACCAACCTCATAAAGTGCAGCAGTGCTTAAATCCAGCAAATTGAGGCATACAAGGTAGAAATGGAAATGAAAAAAGGTCCAAAAAATGAATTCTTTTTGTCTGTCTGTTTTTTTGTATTTTAAATAGTCAGAAACCAGCAGAGACTCTGTCGGCCATTTTGGCTTGAACTAACTCTCTCACTCACTCTCCCTCTTGCTCTCTCTCTCCCCCTCTGTCTCTAAAGGAAGCAGCTTTTTGTGACCTTCAAATAGAGGCGGATCATGTGACTTCGGGTAGGTTTGTCAATCAGGAAAGGGGAGGGAGCTGGGGCTGAAGCTGCCTTAAAGGGGAAGCGGCCCTTTTCCATCACTTTCATTTGTGCAATGCTGTTATCTCACACTCCCCACCTACAGACTGTGAATGTGAAAGTGGCAACAGCATAAGGGTAACAGATGAACAAAACAGAAAAACCTTTATTGGTTTATAGAAATATGCTCAGTTGCTAACGATTCTTAAGATCCTGGATCTTATCTTGGCTCACTTGCTAGTTATTCTCTGGATGTTTGGGCAAGCACGGGCTGGCAAACTGCTCTTTAAAAGGGGGGTTAAGGCTTTATCCAAACAATTGGCTTTAGTTTTTAAATTAAGGTGAAATATAGGGCACAACTGATCTTTAGCTAACTTCTCACATGCACAGAAAAAGACTAAAAAAAAAATGTGTCCAAGTATAAACTGTGAGTAGCAACTCAAGAGAGGTTAAGTAGTACAGTATCTCCCCAGTCACAGCCGCAGAACAGGGACTGATTTCCCAATTCTGAACTTGACATTGTTTTGCGTGAATACAGCTCCTCCCCCAAACCCAAACAAAAACTATGCTACAGCACACTGAGTTCCTCTGGGCTAGGGCCGATCTGAGTCATCTTTAATCTCCTTCCCTACCTGGGGAGTACTGTAGCTCTGCAGCTGACAGAGACCAGGCACTGTATTAAAACCTACCTGGCTTCGACCATCCCTTAGTCCCTCTCTGTCAGACAATCAGCATCTTGACTCCTACCTACCTGAGGAGCCCACACAGGGCTTGCCTCTCTAGCCCAGTGGGTAACAGGAAGTGGAACTTTAGTACTAAAGATAAGTCCCTCGCCTCCTTGGGCCTCAGATTTTGAAGGTGTAGAAAGCGGAGACTGGACAACACCAGATAGTATCTTCAATTTCTGCCCTAAAGCTCTGCTCTTGGCTTCTTTTAGCAGTTCTGTTTGCCTTATCCTGGCCATCTCAAAAGTCAGTCCCTACTCTGGCAGAGCTTCTTGAGTCTCCCAGCCTTCCTGTTAAACACTCCCATGCCATCTTTTACTGCTTCTTCAGTATAGTCATAATTGCAATTTAGTACTTGTGAAAGAATCTGCTTTCCTGGTAGACCATAAACTGTATAAGACTAAACACCCTATCTTCCTTTCTGCTCTGTGAGGCCCCATACCAACACTTTAAAGAGCAGGTGAGTGAATGAATGAATGAATGAATGACCTGAGTCTCTATTAGAAGGGCTGGACTGAGCAGGAGGAAATCTTCTATGCAAATATAAGAAACTCAGAGAAATTAAAGTCATATAGTATCCAGAAACTTATCTAATTTACCAATTTCGAGACATGCTTAAGGAAATAAAGTAACTAAGGTAGTAGAAAGAAAGCAAGAGACGCCCAAGACTATCAGACTTCTCCCACCTCTAGACATCAGAAAAGGTGGGTTTCCCCAAGGTGCTTCTCCATGAGAACCAGCCAGTGACCCAAACTGATGGACTCTGGAGGCCAGCTTGCCCTGAAAAGGGACCTGTGAACAGTGTCTAATTCCTACACATTTGTCTTTCTGGCTTCTAGGTCTTTACATGGTCCCTTTTCTTTGGATTTCTACTCCCAGAAGAACAGGAAAGGAGCTGTTTCAGGGCAGGCAGAGACCAGTGCTCACACAATCTGGCAGCCTGGACACGTGTGGTACAAAATGCTTCCACTGTCTTTGCAAAGCACTGAGTGGAAGAGCCAGACTCTGGCCTGACAGTTGAGATGCAGGCAAAAGCAGGAAACTTCTAGGATGGAACTTCTGAACATTTACTCTATTTTTAATCCTTCCAATACCTTCCAGATGAGTTATGGAAGGCTTACTTACATGGAGCATGCTCAATATGTTAAAATGCATGGAGAATGACTCTACAGCCACCTTGTTTTAATTTGTGATGGACACGATTTCTTTTTGAAACTAAATTTTGCTAGGTCTCCATTCCTCAAGGTAGAATGTTACTGTACAAATGTTTACATGGTTTGCCTTGTATGTGTTAAATAGAAAGCTGTACAAAAAGTTGGGAAACAGAACAAACACATTTTAAAAGAAAATACTGGTCCTGTTTTCAAATAATATGCTCAACATAGTTTTCTTCAACCTCCAGGCCCGATTTTTCATGCAATACCTCTAAGTTTAAAACAATTACTCAACTGTTTTTATAAAAGAAATGAATACAATACTAAATACACATTGAAATCTGTGATATATTTATTAGAAATTAAGACAATTTAAAACATTATTATGGGGTAAAGATACAAAGTAATGAAACTACTTAAGAAACAAAAAATAAGAACATATACATTTAAATTATCTTCCAAAGCTTGCACTTTTGCAATTACATATCATTACTCAAAATATTTTAATTAAGAAACAAGATTAAAAACAATAAACTGAGCATTTAACTCAAATCTAGAAAAAGCTGGGCATGGTGGCACATGCCTGTAATCCCAGCACTTGGGAGGCTGAGACAGGAGAATCGCTGGGAGTTCGAGGCCAGCCTGGGCTACATAGTGACTTCAAGGCTGACCAGAACTATATAGCAAGACCCTATCTTAAAAAAAAAAAAATCACAAACCATAATGATACAGGCATAAATACAAATAGCCCAAAAAAGAGGAGCATGGATTAATGAAACCAATATTTGTTTTCCTTTTAAAATAAAAAACAAAAGTAGATAATTTTTTTGAAAATCTGATCAATAAAAATGAGAGGTCATAAAAGAACATTATGGCTGAGAAAGAGCGTATAACTACAGACTTAGAAAACAGTTTGCACATTTTGCAAGAATTACACAGAACTTTATGTCAACAAACTTGAAGATTAAATAAATGGATGGCAGTCAAGAGAAATAGAAAGTATCAAAATCAACTCAAGGAAACTTAGAGAAACAACAACCATAGCAAAAACCTGTAAAATATTCAAAGAACTAGTCACTAAAACTACATTAGAGAGCTGGGTGTGGTGGCGCCCACCTGTGATCCCAACACTAGGAAGGCAGAGGCCAGCCTGGGCTACATAGTGAGTTCAAGGCTAGTTTGAACTCCATAATGCAACCTGGACTCAAAAAACAAAACAAAACAACTACATCAGGCCCAAATGGTTTTCTATGTGAATTCTACCAAATTTTTGTTGAACAGATAATTTCTACACTGTCCTCACTTTCCCATAATTTATAAGGATAAAAGGAAAATCTTAATTTCTTCTGTGAGGCTAACATATTCCTGATACCATTCTGGATTTAGGACAAAAAAGAATACAACTGCAGACCAATCTTCACTTGTGAAAACATATGTAAAAAATTTAAGTAAAATATTAGCAAACAAACTATAGCAGTTTGTCCATGGAGGGTTTCCACCAGCACTACAAGGATGGGTAAATTACAACAATACGAAGACGTCTGTTAACATGACTCTTCATTTGTTGAATATGTAATAAGTGCTTTCGGGATCAGATTATGTGCTAAATGCTACAGAGTGAGCAGTAAACCAGAAGTTCCTGTTCACATGAACCCAACATCCTAATGGAAAAAGGGAATCACTGACAAGGAAATCAATAAGGACACAGAATTGTCTAGGGAGGGTCACTTTAGATGAAATGGTTAGTACGGGCCAGGGATTTAGCTCAGTGGTTCCACCACTTGCACCGCAAGTGCAAGGACCCGAGTTCGATCCCCGGTACCAAAAGAAAAAAAAACAAAAACCTTCACTTAGTTGAAATGGTTAGGAAAGGTATTGCTCAGGAGTGATCTTTCAGCTGGACTGAAAAGCAACTGCTTGCCAGCCTGGAGTGGTGGCATATGCTGATAATCCTAGCACTCTGGAAGGCTGAGGCAGGAAGAGTGTCACTTGGAGCCCAGCCTGGGAAACTTAATGACTTAGCAAGCTCCTGTCTCAAATTTTTAAAATGGTTAGGCATGCAGCTCAATGAAAAGGCCCTGGGTTCAATCCCTGGTACCATACACACACACACACACACACACACACACACGCGCGCGCGCAACTGCCTGACTGATCAAAGAACAAGAATGATGAATGAGGCCAATCAGTTCATTCAAAAATAAGACTCCAAGGTCTGGACTCATTCATTCATAAAGCCAACAGCCATTATCTGAGTACCTACTGTGTAGTAGGCATTATGTTAGAATGAGACTCAGTGGAATACAAAAATGTTTAATACATGAAAAGACAGAGAACCATGTAAATCTATGATTAAAATATAGCACAGGGGGGCTGGGAATTTAGCTCAGTGGTTTCGCTGCCTGCTGCGCAAGCGCAAGGACCCGAGTTTGATCCTCAGTACCAAAAAAAAAAACATAGCACAGGGGCTATGGATATAGCTCAGTGGTACAGCACTTGGCTAGCATGTATGAGGCTCTAGTTTTGATTCCTAGCAATACAAAAGGAAAGAAAAAAAGTATGTGTATGCATATGTATATATGTATGTAAGAGAGCTCAAGAGGGAAGTGTCACAATGGCACTAAAATAGGGAGAATTAGGAAAGATTTCACAGGGAGGTAAGACTTTAGATTAAGTCTTTTTTTTTTTTTTTGTACCGGGGATCAAACTCTGGTCCTTGTGCTTGTGCAGCAGGCTGCGAAACAACTGAGCTAAATCCCCGGCCCTTTTTTTTTTTTTTTAAACAAGATGGTGAGCTTGACCCCAAGAGTCTGTGCATACTAGGCAAGCCTGCACCAATGAGCCACATACCCCTAGCCCCTTGAGCTGAATTCAAAAGGAGCAAAAGTTTGCTGTGTAGAAAAGCTAAAAAGGTAAAGTCTTTTCTAAGTTTTATCAATTTCAGTTACCAAACCATAGCAACTAGGAAAGCTGACAAGAAAAAATGTAAATGTGACAGCTAAGTGTTTCAAGTATCCTTACCCCCAACAGTCAGAAGGCAGAACATTAGCCAAAACTACCAAGCACTCTGCAGAACAACTTGAATTATAGTTGGAAATTAGAATGTTAATAGTTATACTCTCTTTATAATTATAAATTAAAATATTATCAGGCCTTTTAGGGAATTTTTTTTCCTCTGAGGCAAGGGTCTTGCTGTACTGCACAGGCTGGCCTCAAATGAGGTCCTCCTGCCTCAGCCTCCTATACATAGCCTGGATTATAGACATGCCATCACACTCAGAACAGGAAAAAAAAATTTCTTTTTAGTCCTCCAAGTTAAGGCTGGGGATGCAACTCAGAAGTAGAGTGCTTGCCTAGCACACACAAGGCCCTGGGTCAGATCCCTTACAATGTGAAAAAGCCAAAACAAAACAAAACAAAAACAGACCCTCAAATTCTTTATACCCAGATCTCAAAAGTTAGAACTGCATTTGGAGGAAGCCTTCCTTGGCACTCCAGGATGAATTTTGTACACAAATACACCACTATGGCAGCACCTTCATACCTTATTATTGTTACCCATTATTACCTATTACTGTTGCCATTTCTCTCTGTAAACCAGGGGTCCCAATGCCAAGACCACTGACTCCGTGGCCTGTTAAGAACTGGGCTGCACAGCAGGAGGTGAGCAGTGGTTAAGCAAGGGAATTTTCCTCTGTATTTACAGCTCTGTAATGCACTTGAATCACTCTGAAATCCATCCCCACCTCACCCCCACATTTTGAAAAACTGTCTTCCCTGAAACCAGTCCCAGTGCCAAAAAGTTTGAGGGCTGCTGCTTTTATTTCTGGGTCTAAACAGAGGAAGGAATGTTTGCTGAATTAAAAAAGAAGCAAAGGGATGAAGAGATGAATACTAGGAACCTAGGAGTTCTAGGGCAGTGGTGGTGAACCTATGGCACGCTGTTATTGTATTTTTTTTTTTTAAGACGAAAGATGTTTATGCATGAGTTGTTTTTTCTAAACTAAAACCTCAGTATTCAGGTTTAATTGCAGTGCTGGCATTTTGCGATAGAGTGGCTTTTGGGTTACAGTTTGGGCACTCATCTCCAAAAGGTTCGCTATCACTGTTGGTATGAAAGAAGACAGCATTTAGCCTACAGTTGGGAGCTTAAACATATACTTGAGGGGGTGAGGATGTAGCTCAGTGATAGAGCACTTGCCTGGCATGAATGAGGTCCTAGGTTCACAAAGAAAAAAAAAAGACATGAGACACCAAGAGAAAATAAGAAACTGTTAACCATATGGTCTGTCCCAAGAAAGGCGGGAATTACACACAGAGACACTACAGAATAGCTCAGTAGGACTTTAAAGGAAAGCCAGGACCAGGGTGGTCAGAACAGCATGCTCTGCTGGGAAGCTAATGAAGAATAAGCTATAGGACCTCTCACTTTCATGGGCCCCTCTGGAAGCTCCAGGAGGGGTCTAAACAATACGTCCAATTATCTTTTATCTTTTTTGTTACATTTTTTAAAGTTTTTATTGTGATAAAACGAAAGTATAATGTAAAGCTTATCATTCTAACTATTAAGTGTACAATTCAGAAGTGTTAAGCATGTTCACACCATTGTGAAACATCTTCAGAACATTTTCATCCTGTACACTTGAAAGTCTTTACCCATTAAACAAAAGGTTTCCTTTTTTCCCTGCCCCAAGGCTCTGACAACTCCATTTTACATTCTACTTCATGTTTCTATGACTGTGATTATTCTAAGTATCTTACATATGGAACCATACAGTATTTGTCTCTTTTTATTGGTGGTGGTGGTTTTCTGAGACAGGATCTCACTCTGCAGTCCAGGCTGGCCTTGAACTTGCTGTGTAGCCCAGGCTGGCCTTGAACTCTTGATCCTCCTGCCTTAACCTCTCAAGTACTGAGATTACAGGCATGCACTGGTATTTGTCTTTCTGGGACTAGCTTATTTCACTTAGCATGTCCTCAGGGCTCATCCATGTTGTAACATGACAGGATTTTCTCTTTTTTTTGAGATTGAGTCTCATCAACTCACTAAGTTAACCCTGGCTGGGCTCAAACTTGTGATCCTTCTGCCTCTGTCTCCCAGAATGCTGAAACTGCAGGAATTTGCCACTATAATCTAGTTTGATTTCCTTCCTTTTTAAAGGTCCATAATATTCTACTGTATGTATACACTACATTTTGTTCATCCATTCATCTAATGATGAATATGTAAATTACTTCTGCCTCTCTGGCAGTTGTGAACA